CATGGGAAAAAGGGGTTAATATTTTTTTATAAAACCCCGGGCATAGAAGGGTTAACGTGTTGTGTGCATGACATTGACATGTGGTAGGTCAAAAGAGTGGGACAGTGTAATAAAAAAGTTTTGCTATATCTGCATAGATATGTGATACAGCACAAAACAGTTTTTTACTACGTACATAGACTTTGTAGAGGAATGATAGGCTCTCCTTCGGGATAAATTTAAAAAATGGATTTTAAAAAAACTAGTAAAAGCTTTCAGCTGTAATAAAAAGAAAACATGGATGTAGCATTCCGCGCATGTTTAGGCGGTGCTGCGGTGAATGTATTAATTGTAATGTGGCGTGTTGATGAAAGAACAAGCTGATTCATTTTAAACAACATTATTATCACTTTGAAGTTGTTTTATGAAAGTAATATTGAAGAAAAATGTTGTATAATAAAGGTATAAAGGTTTGTATAATGTATTTATTTACAAAGAGAAACATGGAACATGAAAGTAAATGTATGATGTGTTAACGATCGTTTCTATCCTTTATACAAAATGTAGTCAACAGCCTACTTTAATGGGACATTGTTTAGAGCTTACTGTGTTAGGAGTTATTTGCACTTGGCTTTTTTTTAAAAAAACGTATGCGGTTTAAGGAGTTATCTGCCCTTTACCAGAGTCCCGAGAAAGTTCAGAAAAAAAAATCTTGCAGCATTGTTACAATCACAAAGGGATCTAAGTAATAAAGATTAGGAGCTTTTTAACGTGAGCCTTGTGTCGGAAGTCCCATAAAAATTGTTGCCTAGTCGGTATAACTATATAACTGAACAGTTGAATCCAACTTAAGTTTATTCTGCCACACTGTAACAGGGCAAAGGTTAAACCAGTCAGGGTTTAGCGGGGTTTAACTAATGTGTAAATTAATTAAATTACTTTCAGGTTCAGACAATTAGACCGGACAACACCACACCCCCTCCCCCGGCCGACTAATTATCACAAATTAATTGTGGCAACAGGGCCGGCGACAATTATCGCGTGATTAGATAAATTAGGCCTAATGTGGATGGGAGGGAAAAAAATGTCTTTCTTGATGTGAAATCTTGTTTAAAGCTTGACGCTGGTGGGGTGGGGAATGGGGGTGGGGGAATTAGACCATCATTAGACCAGAGAAACTATCATTAGACCATAAAACGATTATTAGACCAGATAAATTATTTTATTATTAGACCCGTAAGTCTCGAGTTCGAGTAGACCGTCCCAGAGTCCACCCAACTCTGATGGGTACCTAACTCAAGTTAGGGAAAGTAAAAGCGGCTGGGCATAGTGCTGACCACACTATCTCTTCATATGCTGAGGTCACAGAAACAAGTGAACTCTACTTCACTTGCCCCATAGACCGCCAGGTTTGAAAGGGAAACTTTTTAGACCAGCGAAATTATCATTAGACCAGATTAATAATTATTACACCATAGAAACTAGACAGCACATTCCATCATGAAAACTGAAACTAGACCCAAATTAGCGCATTTGTTAAATCAAGGAAAGAAGTCGACAATTAATTAGGCCACACTAGCTCACCAGCTGATGAGACAGGGATGTCCTATATGAGACAATATAGGCCATGGCCTACATGCCGACACAAGTATGTTAAAGATTTTCTGGGCTCCATTTTATTTCTGCGTAGATACAAACGTCTAGACAGAAATCAATACAGCACTTGGTAATGCCCCTTGCTTAATATACTTATGCTGAAATATGCCGGTAAATAGTCAATATTGCAATTTCAAACGCTTATAGGATTCAAGAATTAAAACACATAGATAGCAACTAATATAGCTTTGCAAAATGAAATAGTATATATTATCGAAAAGGGGGTAGGGTGGCCATTATTATTATATTTAGATGGGGGGTCTTCTCAACGTGTTATATACAACGAGCCGGCCCGCGGCATAACATACGCCGCTATTTAGTTGTTTTTTCTACTTTTCAGTAATTCATAATTTGTGAATTCGACAGTACCAACGCTGCCACTGAAAATATTTCTTTAAAACACTATAAGTAGCTCGTTAAGGACCATAACCCCCCCCCCCCTACTTTTAAAATCGTTGGCTCTGTAAACATTTTGAGTGAACACAGCTCACTAAAACCATGAAGGGGTGGGGAGGTAGGGAGCGCGTTTACAGCTTGTTTTCTAGGCGCGTTTGCAGCTTGTTTTCTAGCGGCTCCCAGAAGAGAATTATATAGATCTATATAGATTTTACTTGAAGTATTTTATAAAAATTATGCAACTCAGATTAGCTGGATGAATAAGCTAACACCATTAGATCTAACACAGCACAATGTATTACTGTTGTTTTAAATGAATATGCTGCACGTTTTTCTCCATCTTAACTGGTGAGAAAGTTCTAAAAAATTGTATATTACTATTACAGTGTGTAGTTTATAAAGCAGTATAGAGAAACATCAAATATATCATTCTTATGTAAAAAAAAAATGCTTACGATTCCTATATAACCCAGCATCTCTAGTCACAACAAGCCGATATTTGAATGTGTGTAAACACGTGTAATGTGTCAATACTAGCGCCATTAACCCTTACACGTCCGCAACTCATCAAATTTGTGTAATCTACCGCAGGCATGGACTTTGACCTCGTGGAATGAAAAAAAAATACAAGGCAAGAAACACGACACGCTGCCTACGGCCAGGTCAATTCACGGTGTCAGATCTAACCTAAATAAAGAAGATCGCGTTCCTTTGGCCTAGAATTCAGACCGTCCTTCGGACAATTTTTTTAACACGGACCGTTTAAGACACGAGTCAAGATTTTCTCATTATTTAAATAAACTACCCTTTAAAAAAAAATATAAGAGTACTTACTCTGACAAACATTTGAGAACTTGAGATTAATTTATGCCCTCTTCACCGTCTCCCGACTTCTCAAATCCAGATATATAAACGGTATGGAAATTTTAGAGACACTTACTCGCGGAGAAATCAGGGAGGAGGGGAGCTGGGTGGAGCAGCGAACGTGCCAATCAATAAATGCTGACAGAATTGTAATTTAGTAAGTTCAGCGTTTTGTAACGCTGGTCTGATTTCATGTGATGGTGTTATACAACACGGTGGGCATGTATCGCACCCCCCACCGCTTCATGTGATGGTGTTATATAACACGATGGGCATGTATCGCACCCCCCCCCCCCACCCCACATGATGTGTTATATAACACGCTGGGCATGTATTTCTCCCCTTTCACCTGATGATGTACTGTAACAGTGGACGTATATCCCACGTCCCTTAGCACACGATAGTGTTACATGATAATGAAGAAGCCACGTATTCCACTGTCCACCACTATACAGTGTATGCTATTATGTGAGGTGTTGTTACTGTAATCGATCATTTTGCTGTTAGCTATTTAGAGCGGCCGATAGCTTGGTTATAGCGGCCAATCGCTGGACTGGACTCCATATTAGCGTGGTCACTATTTGGTCATGTAGGCCTTCTATGTTAAATGGCCCTCACCAGACGTATTCTATGTTTGAGTGGTCATTTACTGGTCATTAGTTTACGTTGCTATTTACTAGAGACACACATTACATGGTCCTTTACTGGACATACAACATTACAGTGATCATTTACTGGACATACACCATTACAGTGATCCTTTACTGGACATATAATTTTACAGTGATCATTTACTGGACAAATAATAGAGTGGTCATTTAATTATTTCAGGCTACAGTTCTCATCTCATGAACTAAACTAGTTGGTGAGTTCAATTTCTCACTCTTGTTTATTAGTGGTCAAGTTTATCCAGCCTAACACTCTCACACTATGACTCGCACGGGTCGATATGTAAGAGGCACCCCATAACCCAGACCCGCCCTAGCCCATCACCTCGACCAGTCCTAGCCCATAACCCAGAACTGTCCCCAATTTCCTGCCCAAATTATGAAACGATCAGTGGAAGAGAGTGAATGGCAGGACGAAATAACGGCTTTAAGCAACGATAGATTCAATGGAGAAAACTCCGTGCCGCGAGAAACTGGGTCAGTGGGACAAGATGGCCGCCAATACAAACACGCCCAGAAGAAGAGGGACAGGAACACGGTTCGATAACTTATTTATAATTCATTAACCAACCCTCTCGGAGAAGCTCATTAAAGGTGTTGTTGTATGCTAATGACCCTGACCCTTGTGTTTGCGTATTTACGATACTTCTCATACCTGGTTTTATGAATTGTATTCCCAATACTCTACCCCTGGATTTATTTACTATCCGTAAATAAGCCACCAACTGTTACACTAAATTTTCTGACACCCATTGTTAATCTATTCTAATTATTGTGACCATATTTTTATTTATTTTAATATTCCGACCAGCGTTTTTATTTAATAGCAATACTTCATACCCCTGTAATAACATAACACGTGACCCTGATCTTACATAAGCTTAACACATCCAACCGTTCAGTTAAAATATTCACTACTAACCAGACCGTAGTAGAAGAATGAAAGAATGTTAAACAGTTTTTTCTCCTTCCATAGAGCACTCGGCCCCTACCTCACCCCCCACCCCCCTCGGCCGCCTCTCGGTGAGTAATGACACTGGCAGTCATTTCCTCGGGGCCACTTTAGTAACATTATCTTAAGTGACGTCCGCCCGGGAGGGTCGCACGAGACAGTATATTATGTCACGGTAGACTGACAGGTAAAAAAAAAAGGGAGGGAGGGAGGGAGGAGAGGGTAGGAGGAGAGAGGGATGATGTTGGGAAATCCCAGAGAAGAAAGGTCGGGTCTGATGAAACTGGCGAGGCTAAAAACGGTTCCACCAAGTCGAGCCCCTTACAGTGCTACGGCGCTTGGATTAAGATAGCAGAAAAATAAACAAACACATTTTTGGTGAGGCCGCCGTGATAGATGGCACAATCTCAGGGTTTTCCCCGATAAAAATGTCGGTGTACATATTTTCAAAATAAACACACATTTACAAGGGAAACTAATCTTACCTGTTGTTTAATGCGGACAGGTAAGTCACAGCGGGAGCAGGTACCTGTGAAGTAGAAGTAATTAGCATAATTAAAGGTATAGGTAAGGTGGAGTAGTTAAACAAGGGCAAGGCGGCATGTGGTTTATATTGTTCATGGCTTGACGTTAATGAATCATTAATGAGCGAAACATAAGGGCCCCACTTCTAAACAAAACATCAACGCCATGTAATCATTTAACAGGCCATAAAACTCAACTAATAAAACAACGCATGGAGCGTGGGACACTCGTAAATCAATCATAAATCGATCCGTTCAAACAAAACACTGCCAGGCGGCTCATCGATACTGATTTACACTAACCTCCCCATCGAAACTGTCATTAGTATCACTGAGCCGATGGGGGAGAGGGAAATTAACTTGCCACACGGCCAGCTGGTGATCATAAATTAGGGCCCTCGTTCAACTCACGCTCTACCCACCCTCGACCGTCAGCTCAATGTTTGTTTACCAAATCTAAGACCATGCGTAACCCGTGCATGAGTCACACGGTGCCATAAATCAAACATGGCATACAATATCAGAGCCGTTGACTGCAAAAATAAAGCCATGATTCGAATTACAAGAAAAAAACATTTCGATATGTGATAGCACTTGTAATACCTTCGGGATAATTACATCCCGGGGTGATGGACTGAGCACTGTTTTCAATCTAATGTTTCTCGTTCAACACGCTTAGGTATCCTTGAGGGGTATCAATATCGTTGAGAAATGGGCCAACGCAGTATATGGATAAAACAACCGGGCACTCACTAAAAGAACTGTATAACAACTGGACACTCACTATAAGAACTGTATAACAACTGGACGCTCAATAAAAGAACTGTATAACAACTGGACACTCACTAAAAGAACTGTAATAAAACTTTACACTCACTTAACGAACTGTGAAACAACTTGACACTCACTAAAAGAACTGTATAAAAACTTTACACTCACTAAAAGAACTGTATAAAAACTTTACACTCACTAAAAGAACTGTATAAAAACTTTACACTCACTTAACGAACTGTGAAACAACTTGACATTCACTAAAAGACCTTTATAACACCCGGATACTCACAAACAGAAATGTAAAACACCCCGACACATACTAATAGAAATGTAGAAGAACTGGACACTCACTAAAAGAACTGTAAACCACCCGGACACTCCCTAAAAGAACTGTATATCAACTGGACACTCAAGAAACGAACTGTATAACACCCGGACACTCACCAATAGAAATGTAGAAGAACTGGACACTCACTAAAAGAAGTGTATTACAACTAGACACTCACTTAACGAACTATATCAACTGGACACTCACTAAAAGAACTGTATATCAACTGGACACTCACTAAACGAACTAACCACGTTATGTGTGATCAGCTAGCGCCTCTCCCACCATGGGCCAATCCATGATCGGTCAATAATTACACACACGTAAAAAAAAGTCTTGCATAAGAATTATTGATTTGAGTGTAACGGATGTGTTAGCTCCCCCCCCCTCCCCCACAACATGATTTCCCATTGGCGATCAGAAACGAGGGTGGATCAACAACCCCCCCCCCCTTTGATGGCGCCTCGTTCACTATAAAACAGCGGGGAAACCCGACATGACAAATAAAGATACTACTGTAATTACAACAGACTACTGCGTCAAGTTTGGGTTATTCCGAAAGTACGTTATTGCAACTATTACTAATACACACAAGTGATTTATTTCCGAACAAAGAGGTTTTTTTAAGCACTCAAAATAAAAATCTTGAAAAACCAAATTTCCATTTTTTTATCGTACACAAGTGGCATGCAAAGTGGTACAGGGCCATTGTTTGCAAAGTTAAAGATGGAAATATTTGGATAGCGTTTTTATAACAGCCCCATCTTAAATATGCCGTACTCGGGTTTTAGCGACAGGAAGGGGAGGGGGAGGGGGGAATCCGTTTGTTTTAAACCTAATGTAGCGTATATCATTCCTGGAGAAATCCAGTCGGGATGTATTCAATTAATAATGCTGTCAAATTAAATAAAAGATGAACAATTTTATGGCTTGAACATTAAAAAAGATTTACTGTGTTTTACTGCTCTCCTTATCAAAGGACAAATAATTATTTTTTTTTTATCGGGGGATGCGAAGTCTCTTTTTATCATAGCCAGGTAAAAAAAAATACCATTACAAAAAAAAACTAAGATGAAAGATAAAATTAAGCCTTTCCTCCTTTACAATGGGCCCTCCCGTCTCTCCAGTGCCCAGCCCCCCCCCCCCCCCCCACCAGTCACACAAACCCTAAGGACCATCAGTACCGCAAAGATGTAGGTTGATAATACTTCAAAGGGAATTCGATAAGTACATAGTGATACAAGATAACGCTATCTTCTATACCGTTGTGGATTACTTGAGCGATAAGAGGTCAAGTGGAAGAATTCAGTCCAGGACTAAGGTTTTCGTACCACTGAGGTGTACAGTGTAATGGCAGGGTGCTTGACCGGTGGTCAGTATACAACGTGAGGGGGCAGGGGTGGTCGGTACACAGAGTCTGTCAAACCTGTGTGGTCAGTACACAGCGTCATGACAGACTGTCTGAGAAGTGGTCAGCTAGCTAACCTGACATACGCGAACTGCTGACAGGCACACTAAGCGGTGATGATAGGCATCAACAGCAATATCGTCTTACACTCAACCTTTTAACTGACCACACAGGTTCAACAGTTAACACAGGTCTAACAGTTAAGTGACCACCTGGTATAAATGTTAACTGACCGCACAGGCCCAAAAGTTAACTGACCACACAGACCCATCAGTTAGCACAGGTTTAACAGCACAGGCCTAACAGTTAACACAGTTCTAACAGTTAACTGACCACACAGGTCCAACCGTTAACTGACCACACAGGTCCAACCGTTAACTGACCACACAGGTCCAACCGTTAACTGACCACACAGGTCCAACAGTTAACTGACCACACAGGCCCAACAGTTAACACAGTTCTAACAGTTAACTGACCACACAGGTCCAACAGTTAACTGACCACACAGGTCCAACAGTTAACTGACCACACAGGCCCAACAGCTAACACAGTTCTAACAGTTAACTGACCACACAGGTCCAACCGTTAACTGACCACACAGGTCCAACAGTTAACTGACCACACAGGCGCAACAGTTCTAACAGTTAACTGACCACACTGGTCCAACATTTAACTGACCACATAGTCATGATTTATTCTATGTAGGTCTACACACATAGCCAAGTAAATATCAGTTCTTAGCAAGAAAGTCAATTAGGTTTACCTTTCACAGCTTTTAATTACTCCAGGGTTTAATTACTTCCAGATAGAATCAGGTGTACACATGTAATTAGTCCCCAACTAATGAACCACACAGTGCGAATAACTGCGACAATCTGTTCCTCAAAGTGATTTGTTCCACAGCACAAGTTTGATAAACACCGCTGTTGGTGGCGCGGTACTTGAATATCGTTAACTGGCCGTACACCGCCGGCTATACGGAGTCAAGCAGATCTATGTGTTCGTGCTCGCCAGGCTAGGCGGAGATCCATTGACGTTGGTCGTATCCGCACACCTTTACTGTTATCTCAAACCACAAAACGTAAGACGGGAGAAAAAAAAATCACACACGACTTTCACGTCTGAAACTGTGTCAAGGACAATAGAACGTTAGATTGATCTGGCACTTGTACACGCCGGCCCTCGGTAAACGTGGGCTGATGGGACAACACGGGCCTCGACACGTCGCCTCGCGCTGCTCGCGTTCATCAAAGCTGTAACGTACTCTCGTGCACTACAGACACTAGACCTACTCTCGTCTTAAGTTACAGAAACTAACCGTCCCTCTCGTCTACCAAATTCTCTCCTCAGACCTCGCCGTACTCTCGAATACCAAAATTTCCCCGCAGACCTGTCCTAACTCTCGTTTGCCAAAATTTCTCATCAGGCCTCGCCTTACTCTCGTCTACCAACATTTCTCATCAGACCTGTCCTTACTCTCGTCTACCAAAATATATCCTCAGACCTCGCCTTACTTTCGTCTACCAAAACGCCTGGCCAGACTTGCCGCTGAAATTCGAAACAAATTGGAACCAGAAGGCCGTGATCCTAGCCTCGTTTAAAAAACATTAGCAGCTTCTCAGAGGTTCGCTTAACGCCTCGACTCCCACTGTCTAAACAACAACAAATACCTCTTTAACGTACTAATACACACTTTCAATAACGGTGATACTTATACACGCAGACTAAGTTGGATTCGAATACCTTATTGGTCCGCAATTATCACCTTCGAGTACGTCAATTAATCGTAACGCAGTACGGCACGTGCATATGGACGCGGTGGCCATACGGCACTAAGTAGCCATTAAGTACCCGCGTGAGCATGTCTGCTGACAGCTTCCCACAGAGGCGTTTAGCTCGGTACAAGGTATAAGCCACGGAGGCGTTTAGCTCGGTACAAGGTATAAGCCACAGAGGCATTTAGCTCGGTACAAGGTATAAGCCACAGAGGCGTTTAGCTCGGTACAAGGTATAAGCCACAGAGGCATTTAGCTCGGTACAAGGTATAAGTCACAGAGGCATTTAGCTCGGTACAAGGTATAAGCCACAGAGGCGTTTAGCTCGGTACAAGGTATAAGCCACAGAGGCATTTAGCTCGGTACAAGGTATAAGCCACAGAGGCGTTTAGCTCGGTACAAGGTATAAGCCACAGAGGCATTTAGCTCGGTACAAGGTATAAGCCACAGAGGCGTTTAGCTCGGTACAAGGTATAAGCCACAGAGGCGTTTAGCTCGGTACAAGGTATAAGCCACGGTGGCGTTTAGCTCGGTACAAGGTATAAGCCACGGTGGCGTTTAACTCGGTACAAGGTATAAGCCACAGAGGCATTTAACTCGGTACAAGGTACAAGCCACAGAGGCATTTAACTCGGTACAGGGTATAAGCCACAGAGGCATTTAGCTCGGTACAAGGTATAAGCCACAGAGGCATTTAGCTCGGTACAAGGTATAAGCCACAGAGGCGTTTAGCTCGGCACAAGGTATAAGCCACAGAGGCGTTTACCTCGGTACAAGGTATAAGCCACAGAGACATTTAACTCGGTACAAGGTATAAGCCACAGAGGCATTTAACTCGGTACAAGGTATAAGCCACAGAGGCGTTTAGCTCGGTACAAGGTATAAGCCACAGAGGCATTTAGCTCGGTACAAGGTATAAGCCACAGAGGCGTTTAGCTCGGCACAAGGTATAAGCCACAGAGGCGTTTACCTCGGTACAAGGTATAAGCCACAGAGACATTTAGCTCGGTACAAGGTATAAGCCACAGAGGCGTTTACCTCGGTACAAGGTATAAGCCACAGAGGCATTTAGCTCGGTACAGGGTATAAGCCACAGAGGCATTTAGCTCGGTACAAGGTATAAGCCACAGAGGCATTTAGCTCGGTACAAGGTATAAGCCACAGAGGCATTTAGCTCGGTACAAGGTATAAGCCACAGAGGCGTTTAGCTCGGTACAAGGTATAAGCCACAGAGGCATTTAGCTCGGTACAAGGTATAAGCCACTACAGTCCTGTTTTAACATGTACAAAAGTCATATAAAAAATCAACAACTGCCACTTGCATGTGCCAGGTGCGACACATTTCAGCCAACTGCATAAATGGCAGGTGAATTATGGCCACTTGAAAACACAAAACAACTGACCATTAATTTGACGCTAAAAAAATTCTCGAGGGTTTTTACTCCCAGCGTGTTATTATTTTTTTTATTGCTTGGCGTCGCTCGGGGGAGGGCAAACAGCATTAACCTGGGGATCACGGCGACCAGGGCTCATGGGCTCACGAGTAGGGCTCATGGGGCTCAAGGGGAGGGCTCAAGAGAATGGCTCACGAGTGGTGCTCACACAAGGGTGGGTAAGGCTCACGACTAAGGCATTCTGAGAGGGCTCACAAATGGGTCTCACGAGTAAGGCTCACTAGGATAAATCTGGCACATGCAAGGAAGCGCCAGTCCACCCTATCTACGGTGACAGAGCGACCACTAGTGACCAAATGTCCACCCTATCTGTGGTGACTAAGGGTGACCACAAGTGACCAAATGTCCACCCTGTTTGTTGTGACTAAGGATGTCCACTAGTGACCAAATGTGCAGAATTAATATTTTTTTTTTCACTAAAAAGAATAAATGATATTCACCAAAATATGTAAATTCAAACTTTAGCTCGACATACAATATGGCAGAACAATTAATTAATAAAATAAATAATAACTACCATTTTATTGTAGTATTAAATTATACATCTAATTTAAAACTATTTTAACCCAAAAATTGATCGTTTTAAATAAATAAATGTTCATTACAATTCTTTATTTTGTTAAGAGGTCGAGGTTTTCCCAGTGATGAATGTATTAGTTTAAAAAACTGTCAAAAGGAATATATTCTTTTTGAGAATGAGCAAAAAAAAAAAATCTTGCCTTTTATGAACAGAATATAAAAAAAATCATATATCGAATTTTGGGCGGACAAAAACAGAATAGTGCCCCAAGTAATCATTGATGGAGTTTTTTTTTCCCCAGTGATTTTATGGCTGGTAATTGAGGATAATTATAGGGGACGTTAGCGGGGTGGGGGTCCAAAGCGGGGGGGGGGAGGGGGGGGGGTAATGATGGGGGTGGTGACAAGCAAGTGGTTGCTGAAGGTGAAGGGTTGGATATCTTGCAACTATGGCTTGCTTGTAACACAAAATATGGTTTACGATTCACAAATTAGTGGGTTTGGGGAGGGTGTTGTGGATGAAATGAGGGTTAAAGGTTAAAGGTTACACACATAAGACAAACCCACACAGAGATGTGTGTAGCTGTGGAGCTAATTTTAGGCCTTGAATGAGCCGAGTTTGAACTTTATCTTGTCATTTACTCCTCAATTAATTAAACCACTTGTCCGTTATCTATTCCTTGACAAACACAATTAGGCAGATAATTAAAAAACGCTTTCCCACACAGGCCAAAGGTCAAAGTTGAAGAGGTCAAAATGAAGCACAATTTAAGTAATTTTTCGATTTCCTTTTCTTTCCTCGATCTTTTTTTAACTCTCACAAAAAACGAACCCACACACTGATCACTGTAAACACACACATGTACACACACCCACACATATTTATTTCATACAGTTAGGCCTAAACTAGGCCTAACATTTTTACACCAAGGCGAAATGTCACACAAAGGGAGGCTACTCTTAAATGCTTTAATATAAATACCATTCCGACTATTACAAAGTTAGACAACCCAGTTCCAATAACAGTATGGATTCCGTTCTAAACCAACAAGTTGAGCAAATATATGCGGCTGCTAATGTCAATAGATTACCGTACACACTACTGAAGGTGTTGGTAACGTTTCGCCACAATGTCACCATCTGTTTAAATTCTCGTCTAAGTCAACTTCGCTACACAAAAGGAATTTTCCGTTTTTTTTACGTGTCTACAAAAAACTGAAAACTTATGAGGCCTGAGGTCAGCTAATGGTGAGTTATGGTCAAGATGTCGGACTAGATCAGCTAATGGAGGCCTAACGGTCGAGGGGTCAGGGAACAGCACAGGTGTTGCCGTCGTTAGCGTGTCCAGTCGGGCAGGTAGTAAATCCTACACGGCTGGCCATGTCGGGCCGACACTATTTATTGTGGGAGGGTTGGAGAAGAATGTTCTGGGCGTGCTGCTGCCCACATTAACCAACGGTGGGGAATGGGAAGTTGTTTCTCATACAGTAAGCCTACACCGGGGTCCTGTTCACATTAAAACTAAACAGTAAACGTCGGCCAAATAAAAGCTAATGAATTTAAAACACTGAAATGAGACGTTTTCTTATTTGTTTTCAACACATTAAAAAAAGGAGAGCTATGTACTACACTTGTCAGCAACACAAGCAGTGTTTCTTCCAGACTTTTTTCTCGGGGGGGGGGGGGGGGCGGACACTTAGTAAAAGTATATGTTTACTATATAAATTCCATCTCGTTCGGTGGGGGTTGGGGCGGTAGAGTTGGCTGGAAGAAAGTCTGAACACAAGACTTTCCATGGTCGCTATACTTAACAGGGTTGTTTCCTGGTCGGCTAAATGAGTTCAGGGCTGTCCGCTTGTCAGCCCCACCATATATTTTGTAGCGATGGGATGTTTTACTCTTTTTTTTTTCTACAGTGATTCACATCTCAACAACCTGTGCCTTTGATGTTTGTAACGTAACTAACCCCCTCCCAGCGAGCCCATCCCCCCCTTCCCCGAGTGTAACAATATGCATCCTTGTGGTGCAGCCTGCCCATGACGTCACGAAAAGACAAGGTGTTCTGTCTCAAGGTGTTATTCTACCTGTCACACGTGCGCCCCTACCTGCCACAGGTGGGTTGTATTTCCCCCAGACTTGCCCGTGGAACCCAGGAAGGAAACGGCGATAAGACGATGAAAAAACTCGACCGGGTAAAGCCACGAGAGAAAGCAAGCGTTTATGAAGAAATAAGTGTGGAGAATTT